ATAAGTGAAATGCCACTTATAAAATGGGGTCTGTTCCAGAAACCTCTGAATTTACAAACTCAAACCATGAATGAATGTTGTACAGGGAGGAAAACAGGCAAGAACAAGTGGGGCAAAACTGGCAGAGTCAGGCAGGACAGGTAAAATGAAGCAATTTGCACATTTTGGGAATTGAAATTTGGCTTAAAAGCTTGTGTGAGAATTTGAGCCCCAGAGCTGGGGTGGGGGAGAGGGCTCAGCAATGGCATTCTGTACCTTTGGGTGTGGAAATGCCCCTGGTGTGCAGGGGAATGCATTGAGGGCTGGGGCTGTTCCGGAGCCTTGATCCTGCACGGGGATGGGATTAACCCTTTACAGCCAGGGCTGGGGTTAACCCTTTACAGCCAGGGCTGGGGTTAGCCCCTTCCTGACACAGGGCTGGGGTTAACCCCTTACAGCCAGGGCTGGCATTAACCCCTTCCTGACACAGGGCTGGCATTAACCCCTTACAGCCAGGGCTGGGATTGAGCCTTTACAACCAGGGCTGGGGTTAACCCCTTCCTGACACAGGGCTGGGATTAACCCCTTACAGCCAGGGCTGGGATTGAGCCTTTACAACCAGGGCTGGGACTGAGCCTTTACAGCCAGGGCTGGGGTTAACCCCTTACAGCCAGGGCTGGGATTGAGCCTTTACAGGCAGGGCTGGCATTAACCCCTTACAGCCGGGGCTGGGATTAACCCTTTACAGCCAGGGCTGGGATTAACCCCTTACAGCCAGGGCTAGGATTAACGCTTTACAGCCAGGGCTGGCATTAACCCTTTACAGCCAGGGCTGGGGTTAACCCCTTCCTGACACAGGGCTGGGATTAACCCCTTACAGCCAGGGCTGGGGTTGAGCCTTTACAGGCCGGGCTGGGATTAACCCTTTACAGCCAGGCCTTGTTCTTGCACAGGGCTGGGATTAACCCTTTACAGCCAGGGCTGGGGTTAACCCCTTCCTGACACAGGGCTGGGATTAACCCTTTACAGGCAGGGCTGGCATTAACCCCTTACAGCCAGGGCTGGGGTTAACCCCTTACAGCCAGGGCTGGCATTAACCCCTTCCTGACACAGGGCTGGCATTAACCCTTTACAGGCAGAGCTGGGATTGAGCCTTTACAGGCAGGGCTGGCATTAACCCCTTACAGCCAGGGCTGGGATTAACCCTTTACAGCCAGGGCTGGCATTAACCCTTTACAGCCGGGGCTGGGGTTAACCCCTTACAGCCAGGCCTTGTTCCTGACACAGGGCTGGGATTAACCCCTTACAGCCAGGCCTTGTTCCTGCACAGGGCTGGCATTAACCCCTTAAAACCAGGCCTTGTTTAACCCCTTACAGCCAGGCTTTATTCCTGACACAGGGCTGGCATTAACCCCTTGCAGCCTGCAGCCTGCCCGAGGTTGTGCATGGCTGGGATTTTCCCATAGGAAGTGCTCTGCTCCTCGTGACCCCCTGTCCTCTGGCAGCACAAAGCCCCTCATTGTTCCCATGGGAATGCCAGGGGAGAGCAGGACCTTGGTGTTAGGGCCCATTGTGCAGCGTTTCTCTGAAGGAGCTTGTCTGGAGCCAGGCTCTTGTTTTCCCACCTCTGAAGTCCCGAGGAATGTTCCCTGGCCCCTCTGAGGAGGGCAGAGCTGGGTACTGAGCCCTGTGCCTCTCTCCCTGCCCTCCCTCTGTGGACAGTGGGGTTTGGGAGCTGCCGTGGCACTGAGAGCAGTCAGTGGGTGATCACTCACAGCATCCGAGCCCTGAGCCACATCCAGGGCCCAACTGAGGGCAGGGAAATCCAGCTGCCTCTGTGGGGTGTGAGCAGTCCATCGTCCATTCTGCATCTGCAGGGAGCTGGGGTTTCCTTGTGCTGCTGGCTTGGGGCACTGCTGGTGCAGTGTTTGCAGCCCCAGGATCAGCAGGGCTTGTGCTGGCTCCTCGTTGGGGAGGATGAAACAGGAAAGCCTTATCAATATGATTGCCTGGCAAAGGATTTTGAGAATGTGGAAACTATAAGTGAGAGTGAAATGAAAGCTTTGAGATCCCTCAGTTAGTGAACAACTGGAAAACAATGGTGTGGCCACTGAAGGTGATCCCCTTTTGATGGAACAACACCCTCGGCTTGCAGACAGGCCCAAGGGTCAGAGCAGACCCTACAGCTTGGCAGAAGGGGCCCAAAGAGGAGTTTTTAGGGTTTAAAATGTAACACAGGATGGTAATGTAATGATTCTTATAGGCTGTATGGAAATGCTATAGGATTTGTGTATTGTACTAGATTGGTT